CTAGGGCAGGAGTCTTCCCAGACCAAGAGAGTACAAGGATGCCCAGGTCTGGGGTCATGGCTTGGTGGCTGAAGCTGTGCCTGGGAGCATGGGGCACACCAACCAACTCAGTAGGGTGCAGAACTCCCTCCTCTTCCTGGCCCCCACCAGCTCTGTGGAGCGTATGGCCCCAGCTGCAGAGGGCATCCTTGCAGCGGCTGCTTCAGATGGTCTGCCACCACCATCAATGAGAAAACAGGTCACAGTGATACCAGGGCAATGATACACAGGATGAGAAATGTCCAACCGCTTTGCTAAATGTAGCAATGTCTGTGAAGGGTCTCCCAGTAATCTCCTTCAGTTCCCTGTAAAGTCACCTGAAATAAACATAAAATCTATACAAGAAATGATGGGCTTGCCATGCAAATGCAAATTGAGGGCCAGCTCCATATTCCTTACTTCTCACCAATTATCCCATTTGCACAATTCCCAAATAAAAATTCTTGACCTTTGTTTGGTGATGGTCACTTTTTGAGGAGATCAGATCTGTATGAATTGGTTAGTGAGGAAACAATTCCCAATTCAGGGCTTGTATATAGTAGCCTGAACTAGCATGCCTTAAAAACAAGGAAAAGGATATTGAGGGCTTGACCTGAAAATAAAAATGCACAGTTGTGCTGTAAAGGGGAGCGTTTATGAAAGCAGGTCATGAATTTACAGCAGTGCATTATGCACAAGAACCCAGTCATCCCTTTTCCCTTCTGTCACTAAGATCTCTTTCTGCAGAGATGGCCTCTTCCAGACAGAAACAATCCAAATTATAAACACTTTCTACAGGATTTGCCCACTTGAGGCCTATTCAAGGACCGGGTAAGTTCTGTGGAAATCTGTGTCAACTGAGGAAGAGTAGATGTCTTAATGTGCTCATTTTACTGTGCGTGGTCCCTAGCTGAGAATCTGTACTCAGTTTTCCTCCCATCCTTCTTCTCCCCTTCTGTTCTCCCCCAGCACACACGTTGAAGGACCCAGATGGCAGGGCCCACTCACTATGTGAGAAGGGAGAGCCCAGCTGAGATGCAGAAAAACATAGTGACTACAGTCATGGAAGGCGCAGAAGAGGCAGGTGGTGGAAGAGGAGGACAGCCTGGCAAGGTCCTGTGGAGGGTGTCAGACTTCATCCTCTGGGAAAGAGGTAACAACTGAGGTACATCCCAGGGGGGTAAGCATGGCAGGGGCGCCTTGAGAGCAGTGTCTCTACATGATCTCTCAGACTGCAGAGTGAAATCCATCAGTGCGGGGTCCAGAGTGGGTTACTGAATTGGTCCACAGGATGCTGTATGAGCAGTTTTGGAAAACACTGGATGGTGGTTTGAACGTGGCTGGTGGCCATGCAAAGAACAGGAACAATTCAAGAGGGGCTTCAGAGGCAAAATCCACATCATCTGTAAACAGGCTGTATGTGTGGGTGTAAGGGAGAAGGAGAAGCCGGGGGCTTCTGAGTGTTTCTACAGAACCTCACGCTGCTCATGACAGGCTCAAAACACTCCACCCTGTCCGTATGCACACCCTCTGTGTGGAAGGAGCCACAGTCCTGGACACAGGAGGTGAGGGAACTATGGCCAGCTGCCCACTGCCTAATGCCTTGGAATAGCTCTTACCTCCTAATTACCCAAATTATTTTCTTTTTTTTTGAGATGAAGTTTGGCTCTTGTTACCCAGACTGGAGTGCAATGGCACAATCTCGGCTCACCGCAACCTCCACCTCCCGGGTTCAAGCAGTTCTCCTGCTTCAGTCTCCCAGGTAGCTGGGACTACAGGCATGCACCACCATGCCCAGCTAATTTTTTTGTATTTTTTAGAAGAGATGGGGTTTCACTGTATTGACCAGGATGGTCTCGATCTCTTGACCTCGTGATCCACCAGCCTCGTCCTCCCAAAGTGCTGGGATTATAGGCATGAGCCACTGCACCCGGTCAGTACCCAAATTTAAATCAAGTACATGATTCAATCATTCTTAAAGTTTTTTTTCAAAAAAAAACTTTAAAAAGTTACTATAATAAGCTCTTTGTTTTTGTCTGTTTCTACCGTGCCATTTCATAGTAGGATTTGAAACTTACATTTCAAAATATCCTGAGAAATAAGACTCCCCTTGTGTTTCTGACCACATGGAAGCAAAAATAATAAGACAGGCTGAGAGTGAACATGTTTACAGATCCATGCTTAAAACAAAAAAGAAGAAAATAGATGAAGCATTTGATGTTTGGAATCTCTTCTTGAACTGAACCACATTATTAGTATTTTCAAAACCATAAGCTAGCAAGGATTTCCTAGTTGTTCTTGGTATTGTTCAAGTGCATATTTTACAATCAATGCTCTTTGGGGGTTTCATAAGCTTGTTTGTTTTTTCATGGTGTCTATCCACAACTAAAATAGGTTGGATTTTGCTGATTACATGAACATTGAGCCTACTGGTTTTAAGACACAGTGCATTATCACCATCGCTCCATGGAGATTAATCTTTTTCCGTTAAGTTTTTATGTTCAGAAAGTATTCATTTCTTTTTTTACAAAAAATGTAAACCATTACTATTAACTCTAGAAAATCTGAGGATGAGTTTCTGGTGGAACAGTTCTGGAAGATGATGAAATTCTCAAGGCATAAGTCACTTACATCTAATAAAACACGATAGATGTTTACGTCTAATAAAACACGATAGACCCCAAGCGTCAGAGAAAATAGCCTCAAATAATATAATCATATGAAGTAGAAATGGCAAAATAGTCAACAAAGCCAACTTCCCAGTAAAAATCTCAGGAGGTTGTTTTCCATATACTCTTTTCATGAAACAGATTTGAAGTCGTTTACAATAAAGCACACACACACAATACGACAAAAATAATACAGAAAAGTAAGATTGAGAAGACGGGCGTATCATGCAAGGCTTTGAGGGAGACGTTGCCTAGGCTATCTCACCAGCTTTCCTCGTGGGCGTGCGGAGGACTCTGCTCTCAGCCCTGGGCTGCTGACGGATGCTGGTATAAGCTGACTGACGCTGTGTGACTCGTATGAGCTAATGAAATAGGAAGGAAGGTGACCTGTGCCACGTCCTAGTGCAGGCAGTGAAAATCCCATGAGTGAGGCTGGGTTCTCTGCTCCCCTGACACTTCTACTGAGGACGGCGTGTACTCCCAAGGATGAGGGGTTGGAACTCACCTTCACCGGGACTTCTGAAGGAGTCTAACTGCCAACGCCCCTGCCAAACTGCTCAGGCATTTGTTGATTCTACTAAATCACAGAAATTTGAGGGGATTTCGGGCATATCCCAGCCAGTCCTGACAAATACTGTTAGTGATTATTTCAAAAAGTAAAAAGAAATGTCTGTTCCCCAAAAGGCATGGGTAAGTGAGACTAACAATGATACAAAGCCTAAACTAAGGAAATAATTGTTCACCAAATGTAATTGTGTTAGGTTCTGTTTTTTGAGTGTTTGCATCTATTAAATGTTCAACATGCATTATCTCACTTAATCCAGATATGAGAAGGAGAGTTTAACGCAATTAAATAATTTACATGATTTCTAAGAAACAGAGCAGGACCTGAACTCAGTGGGTCTATTCCTAGAGCAGAACTTGGAACTGTGATTCCAAAAATGGACTTTTGCACAGAGGGTTGCTTGTAAAATTACCACAACTCAATAGAAGAGAAACCTTTTCCTAGTTCCAAGTAGACTGAAACTTGGAACATAAAGTTTTAAGAAAGGAGCACAATGAACAATTTATGCGACAGTAGTAAGAATAATAACAAGAACATGGCTACAGGATTGAGGCAGGCACAGGGTTGGATCCTGGGGTGACCACGCTTTTTGAGAAAGATAATTAAGAAAAACAAGATGCCCTCTTATTCAGGTGAATACTGTAGAGTATCACATGAAATCTAGAGGTCCCTAAGATAGATGCTAGTTTGGCATTTTTAAAACATTTTTTTTGAGATGGAGTTTTCACTCCTGTTGCCCAGGCTGGAGTGCAGTGGTGTGATCTCAGTTCACTGCAACCTCCGCTTCCCAGGTTCAAGCAATTCTCCTGCCTCAGCCTCCCAAGTAGCTGGGACTACAGGCACAGGCCACCACACCCAGCTAATTTTTTTTTTTTTGAGATTTTAGTAGAGACAGAGTTTCACCATGTTGGCCAGGCTGGTATTGAACTCCTGACTTCAGGTGATCTGCCATCCTTAGCTTCCAAAAGTGTTGGGATTACAGGTGTGAGCCACTGTGCCCAATCTTTTTTAAAAACTTTTTTATTTCAAATAGTTGTTTAAATATTTCAATTGGTATTATTCTGAAGTAATTTCAGATTTACAGAGTTTAAAAATGGCATTTTTCTTATCAATTGTTGACGTTTTTGCTTTCTCTCTCTCATACACAGATGTACACACACACAAAAATTATTGGTTGTTTCTGAACCCCTTAAGAGTTCTTTCGGACTTTACGTTCAGATATCTATTTCTTCAACACAAAGACATGTCATCATCTATCTACAGTACAATTATGCATTTAGGAAGTTTACCATTGATGCTATACTGTTATCTCATATAAATGTTTCCTGGCTTACAACAGAGCTAAGTCCCAATGAACCCGTCATTAATTTTAAATACCGTTAAGTCAAAACTGAATTTAATACGCCTAAGCCACCAAACATCGCAGTTTAGCCTAGCCTATTTTAAATGTGCTCAGAACGCTTACATTAGCCTACTTTGGGCAGATCATCTAACACAGGGGTCCTGAACCCCCAGGCCGTGGACTACTATTGGTCCATGTACTGGCTGTGTTTATAGCCACTCCTCATCTCTTGCATTATGACTGAGCTCTGCCTCCTGTCAGATCCGCAGCCGCATTCGATTCTCATAAGTAGCGCGGACCCTATGTTCACTACTATTGTGAACTGCGCATGCGAGGCATTTAGGCTGCGTGCTCCCAATGAGAATCCAATGTCTGATGATCTGCCACTCTCTCCAGTTGCCCCCAGATGGGACTGTCTAGCTGCAGGAAAACAAGCTCGGGGCTACCACTGATTCTACATTATGGTGAGTTGTATACTATTTCATTACATATTACAATGTAATAATAATAGAAATAAAGTGTGTATCTAATGTAATGTGATTGAATCATCCCTCAACCATCCTCCCTCTTGCCCTGCTCTGTGAAAAAATTGTCTTCTGTAAAACCAGTCCCTGGTGTCAACAAGGTAGGGGACTGGTGATCTCACTAACACAAAGCCTATTTTAGGATAAAGTGTTGACTGTCTCGTAATTTTATTTGAATACTGTATGAAAGTGAAAATCAGAATGGTCGTATGCGTGCTTGAAGCAGTTTCTCCCGAAAACACTCCTCTTTTGCACTACGGTCCATATTCAGATTTTCCAACTGTGCAGTGATGTTCTTTAATCATCTTTAATTTAAAGTACTTCATGAGTCTCCATCTTTTCAGTGTGGCATGTTTTAAGAGTATAGATCAAGCATTTTGAAGAAACAACCTCTGCTTAGATCTAGATAGTGCATTTTTTACAGGAATATTACATAAACAGTGTTGCGTCCATACCCACTTGCTGAATTATTGGCAATCTGTAATTTGTTTCTGCTGCCTATTTCACAAAGCTTTTGGGTTCAAATGAGATGATATATTTGAAAATTCTTTAAAAATCATAAAGAATGTTACTTCCATATGCAATTGATAAAAATAATGTGTTGGAAAAACACAAACATCAGTTTCTTTTCAATGTAAATGTCACAAATTCAAAATAAGCATTCTCCCATTTCAGAAGGAAAAAAAAATAACATAATTATTGTCCTAACTGCATTGCATACAATGAGCTATTTCTAAAAGCCCGTATGTGAGGTGATAAAAATATTTGAATAAAATTAAGCTGCTCACTCAATTATGTTGAAGTATCTCAAGTGAAAGAGCATGCTTGATCTAAATTATTTTTAATAAATTATTCATTTTCCTGCTTCAGTTAAGTGAATATAGATTATAGGAAAACTAGAATCTAACCAAAGTGTAGGTCCAAAATATTGGCCCTGTCACTTTCATATTGAGAGGCCTCCTGCAGTCCGGGGCTGAATGATCACAAAACACAGGTTATGTAGGTTACTGAAGACCTTTTTGAGGCCTGGCTGTAGAGAAACATGTGAATGCCCAGAATGTATATGAAGGTCTCTGCAATAGCACATCAGTCTGAATAACACAAAATAGAAAATATCCTCAAAATTCCACTCACCTTCCTAACACTCACTTTTCACATTGCTAATGGAGGCTCAAAAAGAAGAGACTGCAACCGAGCAGTCTCAGGAAACTATCGGTCTTTTTCTACCTCGGGGTTGTTAAGTTCTGTTTTGTTTTTGTTTTGTTTCGGGTGTTTCAAGTAAATGAAAGGAACAGCAAGAGGTTACAGAAGTCACAAGGGGACCCAGAAACCTCGGATTGTGCCTGATTTATCTTAAGGACTGGACCTATCCAGCATAGGCTAATCAACCTTCAACATTGGCCATGCAGTAATTAAGAAGTAGATTACTGATATCGTGTGGGTCTGTGTCTCCACCCAATTCTCATGTACAGTGGTAATCCCCAATATTGGATGTGGGCCTGGTGGGAGGTGATTGAATCATGGGGGCTGTTTCTCCTGGTGTGTCACCATCCCCTGTGATGTTGTCATGGCAAGAGTGAGTCATCACCACATCCGACTGTTTACAAGTGTGCAGCTCCACTCCCTCCGTCTCTTCCTCCTGCTCCAGCCATGTTGGATGTGCTTCCCCTTCACCTTCCGCCATGATCGAAAGTTTCCTGAGACCTCCCAAAAGCCACAATGCTTCCTGTACAGCCTGCATAACCAGCCAATTAAATCTCTTTTTGTTATAAATTACTCAGTTCCAGGTATTTCTTTATAGCGTTATTAGAATGGACTAACAAAACTAACTAAGTAAAAAAGATCTTGCATTAAACAAGAACCGTTTTCATGTTGGGAGTTTATGGACACTTGGTGGTTTACAGATCACCGTCAAAAAACCATGAATGTCCACAAACGGCAGGTGAATTGTACGTGTTTGGGGAGAAGCACCAGAGCATTCATTAAACTTGTGCTATAGCTGAAGCCAGGTTAAAAACACCTCCAGTGGTGTGATGTGATCACGGGGGTCTTGACCTACTTCCCTCATTAACGTAACTGATCTATTTTTCCTTCCCTGACGCACGTCCCTGTATCCCCCAGGCTTCTCCCCTCTATCTGGGTCCCAGCTACTGTATGCCCTTCACCCTTGCCTTGTCTTTGCCTGGATTCTGTTTCCAACAGCTGATCCCCCCTCCATGATACACACTATCCCTTGTTCCATTCCACCTAGTATTGTACTGGAAAATCCTACCCCACCACAGGATGATTGCGAGTTGTTAAAAGTATTTATACATGGATAGATTTTTACAATATGCATCCTCAATGTCAATGCAGACATTGTGAATTACTTCTATAAAGCACCGAAATATATTTAAGCAGAACATCAGACTGATTATAATTTATTTTTAAATTTCTTAACTCACATACTTTGGAAAATAAAATTAATACAATGTCTGTTAATTGGATAATTTTTAAATCAATCATAAAGAAGTCAAATCTGGCGTGTATTTAATAAATAGTAGTAGTAAAATTTAAAACTGAGCATATTCCCAAAAATGCTATAGCCAGTGAAAATACACTATTGGGTGGTTTTCATAATTGACTGGGTCATACATATATACAGTTCTCAAATAATGTGGAAATTATCGTCACTTATAATATGAAATTTAGACAGCACAGGTCAAGTTACAGTAAAGGCCACAGCAGTGAAAATGAGTTTGTTCCTCCTAAAGTTCTTTGAAATGATTAATATTTGACTAAATTCAAAATGGCAAGTAAGAGAGAAGTGGAGGTTCAAGGACTCACCAAGAAAAATGATGAGATTTTTTTCCCTGTAGAAGATCAGGAATCATGTAATATAATTAAAACATTTTATTTTAAAAAAAGGCAAATGTTCTAAGAACATTCCTAGAATCCCAATTACAACTGCAGGTGCCAGTCACACCAACACTTAACTGGTTTGGTGACTGTTTTTGCTAGAGGCACAATAAAAAAATCTTAATTTAATTTCTTCACTATTTTCAGGGTCAGATATCCCCAGCAGGCACAAGAGCATTTGCCCAATGACCTGCACTTTTCAGAGGAATGTGAAGGAGCAGTGATAACTGGAAATCTACTAAGCTTTGATTCTGACCTCCACACTCCCCCTGGCAGTGCATTTAAGTCCCAGCCATAAAAAAAAAAAGAAAAAAGAAAAGAAAAAAAAATGGAACCTCTACTAGTGGATTGACATCCTGAGAATTATGCCAGCCTGAAGAAAAGAGTTTAATCAATTCGGATGGAGAAAAGATGGAGTAAAAAAGCCATTTATAAAATGGTCAGCATGATGAGAACAGCTTGCACTGGAGTGCACTCTTGGTTTCTAAAATATTATTACATAGATGACTTTGCTTGATACTCCCATTCACTCTGTGAGGTTGGAAGTGAAGTATTTTCAGCCCTTTTGACAAATTGCAATTTTTTAAAATTAGCAAACAAAGAAGGAATGTCAGGCAGCAAAAGGGTGTGGTGCTAGGCATTAACCCTGTGAGAGAAAGGGTGAGCTCCCAGAAGGGTTCCTTCAGTGCCATTTCTACATCTTCCAGCCACTGCTACTGATATGGTTTGGCTGTGTCCCCATCCAAATGTCAGCTTGAATGGTAGCTCCCATAATTCCCATGTATTGTGGGAGGGGCCCGGTGGGAGATAATGAAATCATGGGGGCAGTTTTCCCCATACTGTTCTCATGGTAGTGTATAAGTCTCACAAGATCTGATGGTTTTATAAGAGGGGACCCCTTTTGCTTGGTTCTCATTCTCTCTTGTCTGCTGCCATGTAAGACGTGCCTTTTCCTTTTGCCATGATTGTGAGACCTCCCCAACCATGAGGAAATGTGAGTCCATTAAACCTCTTTTCCTTTATAAATTACCCAGTCTCAGGTATATCTTTATCAGCAGCATGAAAACGGACTAATACAGCTACCGTGAGGAAGGAGTTCAGTGATATTATCACGATCTTCTGCTAACAGCTCTGGGCATGCAAATGCGGGGGTTTCCCTTCCTAATTCCTTGCCTCAAACCTCAGACAACTTGCCATTTAACTAGCTGTCTGATTTCCTTGACCCACCAACCTTTTGTTGAAGATTAACATCTAGGGAGGAACCTGCTTTCAAGTCGGTATAGACAATATGGACCAACTTCATCACTGTCATCCCACATCTGTCCTCAAAATGAGAACAAGAGTAACTATACAAGCTGTTCATGTGTTCATGTTTACCTTTCTGGGATTTGGTTTTCTCGTATTTAAAATTAAGGAAGAAGAGAAAATAAGTCCCCAAGACCCATACCAATTCAAATACAAAAGGTTTGCCGTCTGGTAAAAATATTTGTAAGACAACCACTCTTACAAAACTTACTTCTAAGGCCACTGGAGAAGCTTTAGAGGTTCCACTAATTTATATGTTCACTATCAGTGAATATTTCTATTGAGACTCACATCTAAACAACCACATAGCTATTATCACAGCATTATAAAGAGTATCCAAAATGCCAGTAGAAACAACCCCAACCTAGAAATGACTCAGAAAAATGAACAGCTTGTGCAAATGCCCCTTCCTCCCATCAGCTCCTCACCTCTGGGATCCCTGGTGCGGCTGCCAAAAAAAGCCATTCTGGGTAGGCAAAAAGCATGAGAGGAATTGGAGGTTCAGAAGTAAAGAAAGGAAAGATACTGTGAAAAAGGCAAGGCAGCATGGAGCTGGCCAGGGACAGATGCACAGAACGAGCTGACCTTCCCCAGCCCAAAAATATCTTCTCCCCACTGTGCCTGAAGTTTTGACTACACTTTGGCACTCTGGCTAAAATCACATCACTGGGATATGCTTTCTGGATAATAAGCAGAAGGCTTTTCTTCCCCCCCGCCCCGCAAAATGCAACTAAGTCTAGGAGAGTTCAGAGACTGTCAGATGCTTCACGCACCTGTGTGGGTTGGTTCAATCAGATTGCATTCCTCCTGATACCCAGCTGAGACCAACAATCCTGAGTTAGTCAGAGTTTTGAAAAGCTGTAAAGGGTAGGTAGATAATTTTGGTGAAAGATAATTTTAGGCAATGGGCTAATTTTGGTTAATGGAGATGGAGAAGTCTAGAGACTGAAAAACGGAGAAGTTGCAGAAATGTTTTAAGAATGTCAGTTTCCTATTTTCAACTGCTTGGAGCTACCCTCATACCCAGGAAAGGAGGGACCAGACACTTTTCCTGATATTTCATGCTTTTGAAGATTAGGTAATGTTTCTTTCACAGATGAGGAAACTGAGGCTTAGAGAGGTAAAGGGACTTACCCAGGGTCGAGGTCGGATCATGTTACCTGTAACACTACAGGCTCCACTCCATCCTCTTTCTTATCCTCTTCCTTTTGGGTTTCTTACTGCCCTCCTCTTCGCTGCTATCAGGACTCAAAAATGGAGGCAACAATATCCACACAACAACATCGCACAGCTGCCGTTTCCGTGATCCCACCTGGCGAGCCTGATGGACATGTGTACCATTGTTTCTGCGGAAAAAAATATGTGCTGGGCTCCATATTGGCTCTAAAATAGCCAATGTTTAAATAAGATATTGGTATACAATTGTTCTTAAATTGAGGAAATCCTACTCCCCACCCCCAACTCTGCTGCCCAGCTACAAAAGTAAACCAATAAAAACCGTAGTGATAACTTCCTGTTTGTAATCTTCCCCAGTTGCTCCAAGGCATTACGGCTGGCGTTGACTTGTACTCTCTGAGCATGAACTGTCCTGCACAAGTCAGGCTGGAAATTTAGTAAATGTATCAAACAAATAAATGAATATGAGTGAATAAAATCTAATCTGGGTCTCTTACTCAATAACATAGTTATATGCATTTATTTTTCAGACTGGACAGCAGAAAAACCATGGACTATCTCTGGCTCTTGCTGGCAATGAAAAGCAGCTACATGTGGCTTAATTTATTTGCTTTAGAATGACCAGTTGGGACGTGAATATGTTTAATATCTTCTGATATTTGTTCTCCCTTTTTTGTTTTTTAGTCTTTATTCTTCCAAGAGGTTGACTATAGAGATGAGAAGAATGGACTAATTCTAGAACCAATAATGGTGAGCTTAACTTGGAAATATGAGCTGATAGGCAATCTCAAGATTATTAGATCATGTGGAGGGCTCATTGAACAAAAAACCGTGAGTTAAAAAGTACAGTCACAGGTATCAGGTAGTTGAGGCGTTAATGAAACAATTTCATTTTAGAACTTTTTTGGAGAAAACTCTTAAATTCCCCACCCCCATTTCTATCACCCATCTTTGGTTTAATCTTGGTATTTTCAATCTATGGGTGGGAGAGAACCTACTGGCAGATCTTTTGTAAATTAAGCTACTCAAGGGCACAGCTCAGAAAACTCAATTGTTAATAAGGAAACGCCTACAATGAAATTAGTAATTCCAGGGTATGATGCAAATGTGGGAAAATAAGACAAATGTGATTTGAACCATTACTCCCATTTCTGAAGGGAGGGGAAGCAATTTCCTATCCAAAACTTATTGAAGAAACAGAAGCTAGGTGCAGGTGAAAGGATTCAGGAAATCTGGTACTGGATGTAATTAGGAGCTGTGCAATCATACCACTCATGCCTGGGACAGAGGATTGGATAAAGAAACAGTGGTATATGCATACAATAGGATAGGACTGATAGAGGGAAAGCCTGTTGTATGCAACAACATACATAAACCTGGTAGGCACTATGCTAAGTGAAACAAGCCAGGCACAGAAGGACAAACACTGCATGATTCCATATATGATTAATCTAAAATATTCTAACACATGGAAGCAGAGCCTAGAATAGAGGTGCCATGGGCTTAGGGAAGGGGCCGTGAGGAGTTGCTATTTAATGGGTGTAAATTTCTAGCCATGCAAGCTGATTAAGTGCTAGAAGTCTGCTGTACAACATGGTGCCTATAGCTAACAATACTTTATCGTTCACTTACAATTTTGTTAAGAGGGCAAATACCATGTTAAATGTTCTTGCCACAATTAAAAAAAAAATAGCTTGGCTTCAAATCTCAGACCTACCATATATCCTACCTGAGTGGCAGTGGCCTGCAGCAATTTTTTTAACTTTGCTCATTTCAGAGGGGGCGCTGCCAAGGGGAATCCTGAGACCTCAGTTGGTTAATCCATGTAAAAGCTTTGGGCATAGTGTAAGCCCTCACACACCGTTAGCTGTTTCTCCAGGCCTGGTGGGCTTGAGATCTCAGGGAAATTTGGCTTCTCTGGATCTCATTTGCCCAATAAAGATGACACAGTGAGGCAGCCCTGAGCCAATGCCACATTTGTGAAACAGAACAAGTGACCTTGGGGACAGCAGAGCAAGTAAATACTAAGGAACATTGGCGATGCACTCCTGAGAAGCAGCAGAAGTGGATTAAAGCAAGGAAGACTGAATTCCCTGCAAGAATTTCCCGATGAAGGAGAAAGCTTCCTAAGCCGCTGCCTGAGATGATTCAATTCCAAGAGATCTACCACTAACTAGTTCTCCCCTTAGTTTGGAATTTTAAAGTGTAGACCAAAGATTGACCTTAGCATTGGAGATTGAAGCTTTTGCTCCTAAAAAGTTCTAGAATGGTTTCATTGTTTTTAAAAACCTCAGCTACTTTACTGCAATGACTGATGTGTGACTATTTTTAAAAATTCATCACTTGTGACTCAATGCATCCACTCACTACAAGTAATTCTGATCCTAAAATTTTCTATGCCCTCAAAATTCCAAATGTAACTCTCCCTTTTTCCCCATAATGCAGCCCCCACCCCAAAGCATCCCTTTACATCCCCGTAAATCTCACCTCCAGTCACAGTTCATTGCCCTCACAGTCACTCCTCAAGCTGAGTCTGTCACAACCTCTCTAGGTAAAACTCTCCCATCATCATTTCAGCCCAGAAAATTCCAGTCACAATTGCCTTCTGGGGAATCTAAATCAGGTTATGGTAATGTGACAGCTCATTCAATATCCTGAAACTCTCCAGCCTCCAGCCATCAACTCCCATTCACAAATTCATATTTTATAGAAAAACTTTAAATGAAAGCTTAGATTAGGCAAAGATTGTAGTTTGGTCAAGATACCTGCTGGGATTCACATTCTCTACAGAGGAATCTGACTAAATTCTTCAGAACAATTAAATGCAGTCAATATTACTTAAAAGTTTTGAGTTTTTCAGTAAAGGTAATCTGACAAGAAACAAGGATCTGGGACTTGAAGGAGGCACCCAGAGATTTCAAGTTTCGAATTTACCCTCTAACATCAGGACTATTACAAAGCTCCTTTGATTCAGACCAAAATGGTCAAGACCATGTTCAAGTAGCTCACATTTTTGACAGTGTTGGACTATTTGACTGCATAGGTTGACAGCTGAATGGACATCAGAGGCTTGAAACAATGTGCTTTGCCACTAAATGGCCATGTGATCTTGAGTCAGTCACAACTCATATGGGACTCCCTATTCTCATCTATGAAATAAGGGCTAAGTAAGACAGCAGGTAAGTCTCCTCCCATGCTAAACAGCTTTTCCATGCACATTCAGCAGTAAGACCACGTGGCAAGACCTGAAGGGTCACAACCTAAATTTCATTTTCTCAGTGAAACAGGCTCACACTGATGATTCTCTGTTTTTCTATCCTCTTTGGAAAGGTATTTACAAGATGCTATTACTGTCTTCCTAATACCAAATTCATATAAAGTATCGTTTTTTTCACTTTTATAAGTAGGTCTTTAGTTTTTAAAACATCCCTACAAATCATATTGAAATGCCAACTTATCATGAACAAGATGCCTTTTGTCCAAGTCAATAGAACCTATCCTAAACCTGTTGTTAAAATGATCACTCACGAAATCATTGTCTCCTGTAAGAAGATACAAACTAAAGGGAGACACAGGTGTGGTGGAATGGAACTCAGGCTGAATACTAAAACTCTGGTCCCATTTCTGCATTTTGCATGAGTGGCCTCGTGATCTTGACTGTCCCTTCCTGCTCTAAAACTTGGTTTCTCTGGAAAACACACTCCCATCATTTCGGCCTTGAGTCTCACAATCTCATATGGTAAAATTGAGGGTCTGGTGCATAGCAAACATTTCATGAACACTTACTTCATTTACGAAAAATTGAGCAGAGGTTCTCACCAGATTCTACTGTGCTCAAGTTCCTAAGAACTAAGAAGAGTGGAAGATTGCAAAGGAGGAGTATAAACTTATAAACATATGCAATTGCATTTTCTGAGGGATCCTTAACTATTCACATATAAATTTACATTTTAGGAGTATATACATCCCACAACAAACTCAGATGGTTTGCATGTCATGTTTGAACATTATGTCATGTTTTACACTATCAGAAAAGAAGTCCAATGGCCGTATCATTGGAGATTTGTAATTGCTACAAGGTGCCTAGTGTGTTGTGCAGGGCTAAAAGATTCAAGAAATCTGATTGATGTGTTCCATCCTTGTTCAATAAAAAAACAGGCATTAGAGGAACTGTTCAAATGAGGATCAAAGCCAAAGAAAGCTCAGCTCTTTCAAAACTGATATTTTGCACAGTCTGGCTAAAAGGTAATGTCTCCCAAGGTACTTAAAGCTATTGTGTTATCTGGGGAGGGATGCTAACGTCTGTGTGACCTTGGGCAAGTCTTTCAGTTTCCTATGTATAAAATCAGGCACTCAAACCAGATATCTTTTCCAGCTCTAAAATTCTATACCTGAGTCTGAGAACGAATGCCTTCTTGCAGATGAAGTTGAATCCTGGCTTGTTATTATGATACAGTGTGGTTCAAATATAACCCAGACAAAGCCATGTCTCCCCACTGCACAAAAAGCTACATCCAGAGTAAGCTTGATTTACACGGGAATTAGATCCAGCCTCAGATTTCAGCGTTGTTATGGGTTTCCACCAGAATGCGCCTGAGTCTCCTCCACCCTGCTCAACTGCGCAGTAAATCTTCAGGATGTGAGATCAGTACTTGCTCTGATAAATGAATGATCAACATTAAGCAAATGCACTAAATCATCAGCTGTTCTCTCCTCAGTCTCCCTTTTCTGCCAAATTCCTATGGACACAAACAAACAGAAAAGTCAGAAGAGAAAGAAAAGCAGAAAATATTTTCGGCCCAATACATGATTTGTTTGACCAAGATTGCCCTACATTTTATCAGCGTGGCCTCCACCTGCCCTCCCACCTCGCCGAACTATTTTCAGCACATAGGCCAATGCTTATTTTTGTAGATGCACTAAGCCGCATCTCCTGTTAGGCAGTTTTTGGAGAGGAAGTTATCCCTTAAGCCCATCCAGCTGTTTTCTCAAGTGTACCTTTAGGAAAAAAGGAACGGCAGGCCTGAGAAGATATGGCTAGCTCAGAACTGCCCCTCATGACTGCAGCCCCAGAAAAATATCTCAGGAAACTTACCTTGTTAATAGCAGATCAGCAGCACCTCGTTGTCTGAAGGGCAGTCATCTCATTTCTTTACTTGGTCATAGTACGTCTTGGATAATTACTTCTCTCATTCTAATTTAATTTGCATTAAGCCCAGGGCGTTTCGTTTTTGAGACGTAACACTCAAATCTGGCAGACGCTGGCCTGTGGTTAGGAATGCAAGACTCCTGGGAAAACATCTGGCCTCATTTTGAATAAATGCCTGAATTCATTTTATTCTCATCTAGAAACCTCTCTGAATGTCCTTCCTAATGAAGTATATGCTGTACACACATTATTTTAAAATAAAAATAGATTGACAAATGACCTTTCAGAGAACCAGGAATAAGAGAATGTTGGCTACTTTACCATGAATTAATCATTAAAATGATTCCTAACGTTTCCCTAAAATTTTCAAGAACCACGCAAGACATCGCAGTTTGACAATCGTGCTTTGAATGGACTGCAGCGTTTTCAGTTTTCATTATTCTCACATTGTCATTCTGTAACTTTACTGAGTCACTATCACAACTACAGAATGAAGCGTGCTGCATAACCTTTCTGTGTACAGTACCTATCATGTCGCTACTAAGCGTTACAAAACTTCAAAACGGTGACAGCAATATTTTGGCTATGAATTAACTAGTAGTCACTTAGAAACTGTTGGCCTTTCATTAGCCTACAGACATGCACACATATTTGCATATGTATTTGTATATGTTTGTATATGCATAATGGATGTATGTATATGTATATATTAGACTATCAACTGAACGTGTTTTTATTTCAATAGATGAACTATGTTTGAGAAGAACTAAGATCTCCAAACAAATGTTAATGCATCTCTACTCCAGCTACAGAAATCCAATGTAATTCTCTTAATCTACTTACTCCATTATATACAAGCAGAACTTTCAAGAAAATACTCACTTATTCTAGATATTTCTGTTTAGTGTCAGAAAGCGAAGAGACCATGCATACTTAAGCTGATAAAATGTCACTGAAGCATCCAACATAAGAGGACACGCAGTGCATTCGAATTAAAGAAAGCAGTGAGTGATAGAATGCCTGCACCTCCTTCTTCTTCTGAAAGTCTGATCTCCTGGGAGTCTGCATTTGAGGAATGAAGAAATACAAATGGTCCAAAGCATTGTGTGTCAAACTCAAGGCTTGAGCCCTCCAAGTGGATACAACCGTTCTCAGGAGGGCAACATCCGGTCTATTCTAATTCAATGAGTAACTGATGGGTCGTTTGGTTTTTTGCATTAAATAAATAAAAGTAATATTATTTCACTCATTACATTTTTTTCAGTAGTTCTCCACATTAACAGGTTCTATGGAATACTGCATGGTATATGTTATATTCTCCTCTTCCAGCACTCCTAGAAATATTTATAATATGTAAAAAGTTATATTAAAAGGTTGTCTTAACAGAAGAGCTAAGATACTACCGTCTCCCAACATTTGCCATGGACTGCGAGGAATCACTGAGAATTCCTGGATGGCATAATTCTCAAAACCCATCCCACGTGCATTTGTGAACTCTGCGTTGTGTGGTGTTGGTGATGTGCGCCTTGGTTCCTCTTCCAGACTCTCCTGAATTCCCTGAAACTCGTGCTCTTCACAGGGCACCTGAACGTCTTGTCAGCACGCATTCCTTCATCCCTCCCCTCCCTCACCCAAGCCACAAAAATCTAGTGGCCACCAAAAAATCCTGGAACACGTTTGCCACATTGTTGACTTGGTGTTCCCACTGCAGCAATTTCGATACCAGGGACTCTTTGAGACCATCCCTTGGACTATTTTGATCCTCCACATTTTGACATAGCCTAAAAAAATAAAATAAGATGTTATAAGATTTGAGGAATGAAGAAATACAAATGGTCCAAAGCATAGGTTGTGTGTGAGGTATTTACCCTCACTGCATCCTTGAGCCAGATGCATTATGGATCCCCAGAGTCAAGAGGGGACATCAGCAAAGCAACAGGAGCTGAAGAGGCAGAGCAGGAGATGCCGCAGAGGTTAGTGAGCCAGAGTTCATGTTCACCCCCAACTTCTCAGCCCCAAGCAAGGCCACCGAGCAGACTGCTTTTTTTTTCTGAAAAGTCATTTCTAGTTTGAAAGACCTGCATTGTGAGTTCCCAGAGTCAATAATACATAACTAGAGGGAGTCATATAAAGCAGCAATGTCATGCAGGTTGCACAGAAAATCTGCAGTTACATTCCTCCGGATAATGTATTTCCTATGTAGGACATCTCTGGCTTTGGAGAATGGGACTAATGGCCCGTCTGGAGGCAGATCGCTTTAGAAATGAGATCCACTTCCAAGCACAGCAGCATGAGAAGTTCTGTAGATCCACTTCCTAGCGAAACCGGTAAAAATTATTTTTATAAAAATTAAAATTAAAAGCTCCGGAAATGATCCTGAGGTCATACAGCAAATGAAGAAACATTTATTCAAGAAAACTTACTAAACCTCACGTAAGAACAGCAACAATCTATAATATTTGTGCCAAGACCCACTCTCTCTCTCGCCCATCCTAGCTCAATGAGATGGAAAATCCATCCAGAGAAGTATAGCCAAGAACACGAGGTTTGCTCCTCACCCAGCTGCTCAAAGGATTATCGTCTCTGGAGAGGCAGGACATCCTTATTCCTCTTGCAGCCCTCAGCTACCTATTGGTGAGGCTAAGTTCCAGGCGAGTGAGGCTGAGAAATGGTTTCTTTCTTCCACCCAGCCCCCACTTGTGGGACAGAGGTTCTGCCTTGGGTCTGGCACTGGTGAAAATTATCCAGCCCCAGTTGTCCTCAGCTGGAAAGGTAGAGGCTTCACACTCAGAGAAGGCTGAGAAGACCTAAGGTCACTGCCACATCCCCGCATTGAGCACTAGGCTTTTAAAGCCCTAATGCCATGCTGTCCTAAAAGCAGCCAGGTAAAAGTGACTCCTCATTAACGTAGGAAACCCAGTCAGAACAATACCTGATTTCTTTTTTCTGGCTTTTCCTGCCCCTCCATCCCTTCTTTCTCCTCACTTTTTTTTTAGAAGGTTTGACCTGAATGACTAAACTATAGACACAAGGGATTTATCTATGTCTGTTGTGACTCAGAGTTGAAGCATCCAGTTAAATATCTCTAGGCTTCAGTTCCTAGGGTTTTCCAAATTTCTGCTGACAACTATTTTGTACATAGACATTTTAAAAATAGGATTCAACTGTTTAATCATGCTTGATGCAATTTTTAAACATAATGCTTTTTTTGTATTATTAACAATATTTTTTTTAAAACTATTATTTTACATGTTTGGGTTTGTTATATAAGTAAACATGTGTCAGGGGGGTTTGTTGTACAGATTATTTCATCACCCAGGTAATTAAGCCTAGTACCCGTTAGGTATTTTTCCTGATCCTCTCCCTTCTCCCACCCTCCACCTTCCAATAGGCCCCCGTGTGTGTTGTTCCCCTCTATATGTCCATGTGTTCTGATCATTTAGCCCCCACTTATAAGTAAAAACATTCAGTAATTGGTTTTCTGTTCCTGTCTTTGTTGACTAAGGATAATGGCCTCTGGCTCTATCTGTGTTCCTGCAAAGAACATGATCTCATTCTTTTTTATGGCTGCACAGTATTGCATAGTGTGTATGTACTATCCTCTTTATCCAGTCTACCATTGATGGACATTTAGGTGGATTCCATATCTTTGCTATGTGAACAGTGCCACAATGAACATACCCATGCATGTGTCTTTACGATGGAATGATTTATATTCCTTTAGGTGCATACCCAGTAATGGAATTGCTGGGATGAGTGGTGTTTGTATTTAGGTCTTTGAGGAATCGCCACACTGTCTTCCACAATGGTTGAATTAATTTACACTCCCACCAACAGTGTATAAGTGTTCCTTTTTCTCCACAAAAAATAATGAGCATCTGTTATTTTTTGACTTTTTAACAATAGCCATTCTGACTGGTGTGAGATGGTATCTCGTTGTAGTTTTGGTTTGCATTTTTGTAATGATCGTGATGTTGAGCTTTTTGTATATGCTTATTAGCCACGTATATGTCTTCTTTTGAAAACTGCTCTTGTCCTCTGCCCACTTTATTTATTTATTTTTTTCAAGACGGGGTTTGACCCTGGTGGTCAGGCTGGTCTTGAACTCCCAACCTCAGGTGATCCGCCCACCTTGGCCTCCAAAGTGCCTGGATTACAGGCGTGAGCAACCATGCCCGGCCCTTTGCCCTCTCTGCCCACTTTTTAATGGGGTTGTTTTTCTCTTTTCTTGTAAAGTTGTTTCAGTTCCTTACAGATGCTGGATATTGGCCTTTGTCAGATGCATAGTTTGCAAGCATTTTCTCCCATTTTGTCGGTGGTCTGTTCACTCTGTTGATAGTATCTTCTGCCGGGCCGAGCTCTTAGTTTTAACTAAATCTCATTTAGCAACTTTTGCTTTTGTTGCAATTGCTTTTGGTATCTTCATCCTGAAATCTTTGCTGTTCCTGTGCCTAGAATGCTATTGTTTAGGTTGTCTTCCAGAATCTTTATAGTTAACAGCTGAGTACTTACTAAAAACAATGAAGGCCAGAGACAGTGGCCTAGCATATTCAAAGCACTCATAGCAAAAAGCTGAGGGCCAACAACCCTATTCCCAGCAAAGCTATCTTTCAAAAATTAAGTTGACATAAAAACATTCCTAGATAAGTGAAAAGAGAGAACTTGTTGCTAGCAAATTTGTCTTACAAAAAATACTAAAGAAATTTATTCGCCAGTATGTCATCCCAGAAGGTAAATACATGAAAACACAAAAAGCCTTGGCAATAATGATTAGGGATTTATATATATTTAAAAAAAAAAAATCATACATACATATGCCTTCTCTTTTCCTTTCTCAACTAATTTAAAAAGCAATTTGATCAAACAAAATGCATATAATTTATTTTTACATATATAACATATGGAAATATATTTATAATAATAGGACAAAGGAGGTGGGTGGGAACAGAGCTGTTCTAAGCTAAGAAAATCTATCTGCATGGTTACTGAAATCCATGGGAACAAAGGAAGAGATACAGAAACACACAAATGAAAGGTAATGTAACAAAAGATAAAATATATAGAGATACTGTTTTCTTCTCTTAGCATCTTAAAGTTGAATCTATATAATATAATTATAGGTATATAATACTGGGCTTGTAACATTTATAGATGTACTAAATATAACAAGGATAACATAAAATGAAGGAAAAAAGAATAAAACTATATTGGAGTAGTATTTCTTATGCTGGAATTAGGTTAGTATAAATTCAAAGCTGATTATCATAGGTTGATATATGCAAGCTAAGTCATAGAGCAACTGCTAAGAAAATACCTCAAAAAGTTAAAAAGAAATCATTAAGAAATAAAAATTTATGCTATATTACATAATATTTGCTTTACGTAATGTGTGAAAATTAGAGGAACAAGAGAGGCATGAGACATATAGGAAATAAGAGGAAAAATGGCAAATGAAAATCCAACTATATCAATGATAAACTTAAGTATGAATGGATTAAAAAATCCAATCAAAAGGCAGATATTGTCAGACTAGACAAAGAAAGAGAGAAGACCCAATCCCATACTGTCTTTAGGAGACACACTTTAAATTCACAGCCATGAAGAGATTGAAAATATAAAATATATATATATATATATATATATCATGCAAACAGCAACCACAAGGAAACTGGACTGAGTATACTAATATCAGAAAAAAATAGACTTTAAAACAAAAAATGTATATATTGCTAGATATGAACAGGAGTATTTTATAATGATAAAAATGTCAATTCATTAGGAAGATATAACAATTGGAAACATGTATACTTGTAACAACAGCGTACCAAAATACATGAATTAAAAGCGGCAGAAATGAAGGAAGAAATAGACAATTTAACAATACTAAATGGAGACTTCAGTGCCCCATTTTCACGAGTGTATAGAAAAACTAAGCAGAGATCAACAGAGAAACAGAAGTCTCGAACACATTCATCCTGACGTACATCTAGAGACTACACCACCCAACACCAGCAGACCCCATGCTCTCCTCAAGTGCACACTGGTGAACTCCTTCAAGACAGAGGATATGCTAGATCATAAGTCACACCCTGATCAACTTTAAAGTAAAGAAATGGTAAATGGCATGTTCTCTGACCACAGTGAAATGAAATTAGTAATAAATATCATAAAGAAATTTGGGGAATTCACAAATATGTGGAAATTAACTCTCTTCTAGGTAAACCAAAAGGGAAAATAGAAAACAATTTGAGATGAATGAAAATGTAA